GACCTTATGAAGATTTTGAACCCCCTTGACCATTAAACTACACTTTTGGGCTGTGTTACAGGGGTTCAAAACTTAATATATAGAGGTAAACAACAAATTTTGCCTTATATATACAATGTAAGGTCTCCTGGAAACAGCCTCGCTACCCTTCGGGGTAGGGGTAAGGTCTGCGTACATATTCCCCTCCCCAGACCCCACTTGTGGAATTATACTGGGTCGTTGTTGTTGTTGTTGTTGTAATTTTTCGGCGAAGGGGATTCGGGCGAACTCCTTCCGCCCCCTAAATCCGCCCCTGGTTGGAATGCCATATGTGCTGAATCGTAAAACTTCAGCTGCAATAACAAATTAACAATCACAACTCCCCCTGCCAATGATCAATTTGCAAACAAGAATTTCATTATAAAGCAGAAAGTGTAATGAATTTCACTTCAGCAAATACAAGTAACCAAAGCAAATTCAAAGGTTGTGCCAAGTGAAATGACGAAGTGACAAACAGTGCTATTATTTCGTCATCTCCAGCTTCAGTTGACATTCGTTAACTTCATTTGATAACTCTATTCAAGCTCTGAACTTGTCATTCTCATTTGATAGACTTTGTATTCTAATGAGGATGCAGAGTCCACATCAGCCCCAGTTTTGTCTATTGACAACCCCTATAACATGTAACAGACCAGCTAAGTCAAACATAATGTCACCATTATCATTATATCTACTAGGTGAGTCTAGGAGAAAATAACCAACAAGGGTTGACGGAGTGGTAAGTGCTCCTTCATCCTTAACCAGAGGTCTCGGGTTTGAGCCCGTGGGTATGGAATCACCTTTGTTAGGGAGCGCTTTACCCCTAATGTGGGACTTCCCGGCGCGAATCTGGATTTAGTCGGGCCCCAATGTGGGTACCGGACACTGGACGGAAAACCAAAAAAAAAGGAGTCTAGGAGAAAATAACAATAGGAATTTTGCTTCTCCAGAAGTCAGCATATAGGAGCGTTACGCAATTTAAGTTTTTAGATTAATGTTCACATAATTCAACATATATTATCAGAACAAGCAGAGATTCTTGATTACATCCAATAATTAAGACTAGACTTGCAGCTATTTTCGACCTCTAATTATCAATAGGTAAAACATGTTAATAGCAACGGATCATATGGAAACTGGAGATAAGAATCTTTCCCATACCGCTCCAAGAAACATGATTGGAAAGATGAAGTGTGAAAACAAAAAATAATCCAATTCTGGAATTAATTATTAGGTGCCCACCTGACATACCCTTCACAAGACTAAATCTAAGCACACGCACAAAATTGTGGTAATTTTGGTTTCTGTACCCAAAAAACATTCAAAATATAGCCAATGCAGCGTGATGCTACTACAGAAACAAGTTGCAAAATTGACATAGTAGGGACACAGGACCAGCCTAAATACGCAGGATCCCCTAGCTATATGAAATTTTCAGCCAAATTTGCACTTGATGACAAAATGTTGCTAATCTATTTGACAAGTTTGAACCACAAGGGTGTACGCTAACTTACAGAGAGTCTCTGTTCCTTCCTGGCAGGGGCGGATTTAGGGGGCGGAAGGAGTTCACCCCTTTCGCCGAAAAATTACATATATAAGGTAAAATCTATTTTTTACCTTTATATATTATGTTTTGAATCCTTTTGACATAACACAAAAGTATAGTTTAGTGGTCAAGGGGGTTCAAAATCTTTGTGACATTATTGTATCAATTCTCATTAGCTATAATTTTATTGAACTTTTTTTCTTTTTCGAATCCTCTTAGCAAAAATCCTGCCTCGGCCACTGTTTGGTCCCCTAGGTACCTTCTCCGCACTTTCTCTTACGTATCTAGTTCTATAGCTTAACCCTGACTTTTACGATGTAAGGACAGAACGTAATAGTAATAAAGGAAAAGCAAGATATGGCGGTAAGTCAAAACTGTTTGATCTCTTTGGTGTCTAAGCTGGCAAGTGATTGGATGTCGACATATTTGCCATTGTTTCCGAATATGAGAAATGCTAATACATGTAACGCAACCTTTAGAATCTTTCTCTATTTGCTACCAAGGAAGGAATTTCCCTTAGTTTTATGACAGTATAAATAACTTCTACACCATCGTCATTGACTTATAGCGGTTAGTTAATTATTAGTTTTATTAACTTATATTCAGAGACGAATCTAGTATTTTTGTAGGAATTTATCCATGTTCTTCAAGGTAGCTTTGAACCAAGTGCACCACTCAATTTTTTTGGAGTATGGGCAGTGGCGGAGCCACATTAAAGCAAGGGGTGTCAAGCGACACCTCTTTGCCGGCAAATTACATTATTTTGCTAGATAAATTTTTTTATTTCATGTATATTTACTATACATTGACGCCCCTTGACTTTTCTATGTATCTAATTATTTATATTTTGACACCCCTTGATATAAATTCTGGATCCGCCACTAAGTATGGGTGCCAACATAAAATACCTAGTTTGACAAAAAGAGACCATGAGTTTAGGTGCCTTATTTTAGGCCTAAATCGGCCCTTGGTTACCGCCCTATTAATACTTATTATGTAAATTTATTAGTAATTACATTATAGCTAACATGATTATATAAAGATTTTTTTACACTATTAATGTATATATTTACTCATAATATTCCTGCAGTACAGTGATGCCTTATCCTTTGAATAGCCTTGTCAATTACCTAAAAATTGAAGCAATGGAGATGTTCTCTGATATTCCTCTTCTTATATCCTCATGGTCTCAAACCTGTGGCTTGAATGAATTATTTTCATATAATATTAAGATTAAAAGTTAGTTTAATTTCCTGGGCGACAAAACTAAATAATTAATCAAGGTCAACTTAATCTCCTGAATTACTGATTTTTGGTTCTCTTATAACATTCTTACCCTTTTCATATTCGTAACTAAATAATTGTCACTACTTTTATCAATGATGAGTTAGTTTGAGTAAAAATTAAACAAAGTATAACTAACCCTTGAACTCAAGCACTTAAATTTGATAAGGAAATGACAAAAACTTCTCAATTTTAAATGCTGAGATCTTTACATCGTTTGCAAGAAATCAGTGAGGAGAGCGACAAGACATGAGCATAGAGGAGACGTCCAATCTCCACAGGAGATATATATCAAAAGTGGTGAGGCATAACAAGATCCACGTGTTGGGCAACTGATGCAGGAATTTAATACTATAATGCCTGGCTATGGAAAAGGATAGAGGATTTCCAGGCTAGAATTTTGGAGCCAAGTATGGGGTGGAGATGACATCTAAATGATTGAAGCTTCATAGAAATACAGTCAAAAGCTTATTTGGATAGTTGTTTGGTCATAAGTCAGAGCAGCCGAAATCCACAGCTTCTCAGCCATCACTACTTCGCAACTGTATAGTCAAACCTTTCTATCACAACATTTCGCTATAAAAGTCAAGATTTTTCGGAACCAATTTTTATGTTATGTTACAATATATGTTTTATATAACAGCACTTCGCTATAATATCCATAAATATTCGATACAAATGAGGTTGTTATATAGAGGTTTGACTGTAGTAATACGGCCTACTGGGGAGTATGTATTCAAGTGGACAGATAAAACTTCGGTCCCCCACCCCCCAACTCTTCAACAAATTAGTTTTCTATCATGTTTCTCTAGCGGAAATTAAGGCCAATTAACTAAATATATCAAATTAATTAGTGTCCTTGTCTACTTGCTGCTATAGCACTCTTGAAATGGTGGGCTCAATCATCCCAAAGACACGACTAATATGGTGTAATATATTGTCTGTTTTGAGCCAAGCTCGTGTATTTTTTCTAGACGGTCTCACACAATTAAGAGTATTTCTATATTTTATATATGTTCTCAATATTTTTAACTACTAATGTGGGACTTAGTTTGAACACCCAATATTCGTCACATCTTTGACATCCATAGTATCCTAGCGACGATTTTGCATCAACACACGTTACGCAAAAGAGAATGTAACGCCTTAAAACCATATTTTCTTGAGGAATATCTCAATAAACAAACTGTCCCAAGATTGAAGGCATGATCTCAAGAGTTGTAAGGCCATCCTAGCAGGTTATTGTAACATTAAATTTTGACGGATCCACCACAATAACTTGTGGTGGAGGAATATTTGTACTTTCTGTATATTGTTTAATTATTTATGTAGGTCCAAAAACAATGAGACACTAGAAATCTAATCGCATTGAGTACTTGTAACCCCACCTAGCTAACTTCAAGAAATCTTGATTGCAGCGAAGGTAATAAGAGGAAAATTATTACTGGTACTGCAGCTGTATAATTTGGTTGGTAGATTATGTCTTTTTGCCTGGGGGTTGTTTGATTATTGGGATAAGATACTAATCTCAGATAAAATTTCGAATTGTATTTATCCCATGCTTGACCCGTTATGAGGTATTAGCTAATACTGGTTTAAGTTTTTGTACCAAGAAAACTTGGTTTTAGCTACACATTGGATGTAGGATAATAATCTCAGAATTATAATCCTGTGATTATTTAACCCTGAATATTTCAGACTAGAACCAAACGACCCCTTAAAGAACACAAGCAGAACTACACAATTGTCACCTAGATCATATATAGAGAGATAGGAGGAGTATTTAGAAGAAGCCAAAACATATCCATTTGAAATCCAGGCTTTCTTGCTCTGTCACATGTTGTGTACTATTCAGTAATTATTCAGCTGAATGTGACAATCCAAAAGGGGACCAGAAAACAATTTTTTTTTATTTTATATTATATAAAGAGAAAGGGAAGCCAAACTTAAAACTGAAGCCCAAATTCATTCTCGCACAGAAAAAAAAGGAATAGACTCAATCAAAGGAATCATCATGAGTCATTGTACGGTACCAACTTGGAATCCAAGGCACCAAAGACAAGAACAAGCAGTAGAAGCAGAAGAGCCTAACAAATACCCTCACGTGCATAATCAGCAGAATCAGATTAATCATTTTATGCCCATGTATATATGCTCCCTTAATTACCCTTCAATTCTTAATTAGAACAGTTTTCTTGAGCTTCTTTTCCAGCTTCTTTCTTCCTATCAAATTCACTCTTTGATCAATATTTTCAAGTTCAGTGAATTCAGCCGACAAAAAAAAAAAGGAAACTGGAACTACGTACAACTTGGACGAGTTTGTGCTGCTTTCAATTCATCCTTCATTACATGTCCAAGCTGTAGAAACAGGCACTAATGCTTGCTTTAGAGTAGAATGTTTACATCACAGCTCTTAGGGTGTGACCCTAGACACCACGTGAATGCGGGATACTTTATACACCGGATTGCCCTTTATTCTTTTCTTGATTTACGTGTAGTGTGCTTGGGAAAACATTCAGTAAATATTCCTAGCAATATTGTTACATCCAGGATGGATTTAGGGTGCCGAAAAATTACATTGTATATATAAGGCAAAATCTATTTTTTACCTTTATATATTATATTTTGAATCACCTTGACATAGTCCAAAAGCGTAGCTTAGTGGTCAAGGGGTTCAAAACCTTTCTAAGGGTTCAATTCCCCACTAGCTACAAATTCTTTAACTTTTTTTTTCTTTTTTCAACCCGTTAGCGGAAATCCGGCCTCCGCCACCGATTACATCCTCTTGTTGTTTAATTATATGCTTTCCACTGGTTACATTTTCTTGACGATTAATTACATGCTTAATATAAGCAAAAAATTTCAGGTCCAAGTGTGAAAAAGTTGCAGAGCTGACATGGGAAAACCGGCATGGAGTTGGTGGTATCCTCTCCATGTCCCAAACAAAACCAACATTGGGAAGAGCCGGCGATACATTAGAATCTATCGTGCATCAAGCAACATACCACGGGCAAATTAATCAGACTTCAATTCAAAATTATGACCAGAATCAGAATCTGAAAATCGGGATGTGTGTAGGAAAATGGGGCGAGAGTTCCCAACATCAAATGGCGGCTCCTCCTGGAGGAGCAACAGTGTTGGCTAAAAAGAGGATGAGATCAGAATCTGACCCTAAATATGGTGGAAAATTAGTAGGAGAAGATGAATATGCAGAACTTAGCGCATGTGCAAGTGCCAGCGCAACGTTCTGTAGGGAGAATGACACCAATATGGTGACATGGCCTTCATTTGATGAATCTTCTCGTAGTATTAAATCCAAAACCAGTTGTGACGAGGATTCTGCTTGTCATGATGGTGGCTCGGTAAGCAAATTCTACTAACATCTTCTTGTACCATATTAATATATCTACCTTTAAAGAGAATATCAAGGGCGGAGCTAGTAGCCCGGATACGTGTTTGGCTGAATCCAATAATTTTTGTTCTAACAATTTAATTGTATTAAGAAATTCATTAAACATAAAAAGAAAATTAAGTTTAAAACCCAGTTATCAACACTTGAAATCGCCGTTCTAAAATTCGGAAACCATAAGATTAAAATCCTGGATCTGCTTCAGGAGAATATGTCATGTAAATTTGATTGCAAATCGAATTTCGCTTGTGGTAGGAAAACAAGGAGGAAGAACATGAAACAAAAAGATCCAACTCATCAAGACGCAGCCGAGCAGCAGTTGTTCATAATCAGTCAGAGCGGGTACATACATATATACTTTGCATTAATTACTCCACCTAAATACAGGTCTTACATGAACATAGCTACGTACTAATAGCATATTGTTGTTTTATTGTTTGGTACAGAGACGTCGAGATAGAATTAACCAAAAGATGAAAGCTCTGCAGCGGTTGGTACCAAATGCAAGTAAGGTGCGTTATATATAACAGTAGTGAACATTAAATTGAGCCCAGCTGCCCAAATTTTGATACAACTAATGTTGAATAGTGCAGACAGATAAAGCATCAATGCTTGATGAGGTAATAAACTACTTAAAGCAGCTACAAGCACAAGTTCAGTTGATGAACAGTGTAAGAAACATGGCGCCACAAATGATGATGCCGCTCGGAATGCATCAACATATTCAGATGTCATTACTAGCAAGAATGGGCATGGGCGTTGGTCTTGGCATGGGCATGGGAATGTTTGACATGACTGCTTTAGCTCGCGCTGCTGCTGCTGCTGCTCATCAGTCTCTTACAACGCATCCCCTCATTCATACAAATCCGATCGCCAATCCCACTAATCCATTCATCCCACCAGCCTTTGCCATGCCTGCAGCACCAGCTATTCCTTCCGCTGCACAAGCTAATACTGTCGGCAGGGCGACAACTGCTGTTACACCGCCCCCCTATAGCGCTTTTCCAACGCAAGTAAGCAGTCTAATTACTTCTTGATTGTTATTGTTAATTAGTATAGATCAAGCAAAGTAATTAGAAGATCATCAATACAAGTTGAGACATAGTATAAATCAAAATTAATAGTGTGTTCTCACTAATAATTTAAATGTTTGGACGAGATATTTTCTACAAAGGTGGTTAATTATTTATTAGCATATACAAGAATCTTATCGTCATTGAACAGGAAATTCATCATGTTTGGCCCATGAAAAGGCTCAGAACCGCATGAGGGGCATATTGATCACATATTACATACAACAACAAATCCAGTTTGATCCCAACATGTGGGGTCTGGGAGGATAGTCTGTATGCACACCTTACCCTTAACTAATGCAGGTAGAGAGGTTGTTTCCAATAGACTCTCGCCTCAGGAAGGGCAGGAAGAAGAAGAGGGAAGAAAGGAAGGAAAACAGTATCCAATAATAGCAACACGGAATACAATACCTGAGGCGAACAAAACCACATACCGTAATAAAATTCAAAGAATGTGAAGGGAAATGCATGCTACTAAGCCTATCGGTGAACACTATAAACTACCTACTAACCTTCTACTTTAATCATCGACCTCCACACCCTCCTACCAATTGTCATGTCCTCAGTGAACTGAAGCAACGTCATGTCCTGCCTAATCACTTCTTCCTAGTGCTTCTTAGGCCTACCTCGACCCCTCCTCAAACTCTCCATGGCCAACCTCTCACACCTCAGTGCCTGATCACATATTACATAATTAAAAAAAAGTTAGCCCAGTGCACTAAGTTCCCGCTATGCGCAAGGTTCGAGGAAGGGCAGTACTACAAGGGTCAATAAAAACTTAATATTATATAATTAAGTACTCCCTAATTAGACGTGAGATCTTTTTAACAACTTATATAAGCTTTTAATTAGATGCATGGAATGTTCAAAAAATTAACATAGTTTTTATATTCTAGTTTTGAGAAGATTTTATTGTGATTTACAATCTTCGTTTTACGTTTTATTATATGGTTACTATGTCGACAGCCAATGGACATGGAGTACTTCAACAACATGGCAGCTTTGTATCGACAGCAAGCTAATAATCACTCTACGCAGACAACAGGCTACAAACTCAACCAGGGAAATCTCAATATCCAAGGTCAAAGGGAATAGAATATGACTGTTTGTGTTATTTTATGATATAAACTTCTTATCTCTGGCTATTAAATGACAATATATTGCTCATCGAATATCTTTCTAGAGTGACATGAATTGATGTGCAATTGTATAAACTTTGTATTTAGCCCAATACAAATGGTTAGTTTAATGTACGTATGTGTTGTTGCGGAAGCCAAATGTATATAGTGTGAATAAGTCACAACTTCTATACCAAAAATTATGACAGCCACCAAATAATAAATAAGACAATAAAGCAACAATAAAAGGAACACCAGAATTTATGAGGTTCGGCTAATTTTGCCTACTCCTCGGACACAACCAATATTTTATTTCACTCCAAAAATACAAGTGAAATAATACTAAAGAGAGAAGATACAAATGCCTTAAACAGATGAGAAGGCAAATGAGAGGTGTGT